TAGTAGTAGTAGTAGCGGTAGCAGTGGCAGTGGCAGTGGCAGTGGCAGTAGCAGTGGCAGTGACAGTAGCAGTAGCTAGCATTAGTAGTAGCAGTAGCAGTAGTAGCAGTATTATGTTTACCCATTTCCTTTGTGTTTTTTGTCAATCCAATAACAAGCTGTGATGAGAATGGCTATCACCGCGATGACCACACAAGACGACACCACCACAACAGTAACGGCCGGAGAGCTGTCTGAGCTAGTAGTAGTAGTAGTAGTAGTAGTAAGATATTTTGGCTGTGAAGTTGGGTTATCCATTCCTATGCAATAATAAAATATGATGCATTACAGATTGCGCATTCCACTTTACGTGTTAATGCACTTTTTATGCGTTGACCATTATGAGCCATAGAATGTGAAGTTGTGTTGTTATTTATTAAGCTTTGTCAAAACTATAACATTTCTTTGACCAAAAAAACTGTCATGGTGTGCCTATATGGTCGTCCTGCGAAGAAACCATAGACATATTTAGGCATTTCACATTTTGATAGTCTGGATATGGATTTAAAGAAAGTACCCCCTTAAAAAATGAAAGACTGTATTTATACACTGTTGAATATCTATATTCATTAAGGCGGAATTGACAAGGTTTATACCTTGCGTACACAGAATGTATACTAACAGTGTACGGACACAGTGTGGACATGGTGTGAACACAGTGTAATGCAATGTCCATACTGTGTCCACACTGTCAGCTATTGCTGACAATTCTGCCATAGTCAATATAGACAACACTGTGATGATGTTTCTAGGTTTCTTCAACAAGCCTTAAAATCACAATAATGTTTTCAAGTATTTTGTTTGAAATCGAGTTTGCTAAAATACAGAGAATACGGTGTATTTTATTGATCTCTAGCTGACCGTCTATCACATGCTATATTTAAAAGTGCAGTTACAATTACGACGTCAGACACAATAAAATTGAATCTCTTCAGATTCTACTGGTGCTTGGATTCTCCACAGCGCTTTCGTGGTCCAGAAGTGTACAGAATCAAAAAAGGTCCAGACTTCGATTTAATTGGTGAAGACTAAAATATGGGCATATACAAAATTATATATGTTTTGGACGTTAAAGAAGAATTGGCGAGTGAACAGAATATCAGGGACGGATCCTGGGCTACGGGGGCTAAGCATTTTTAGACAAAATATTAAAAACCACCCCACCCCCGCTCTGGGCTTTCCACCTCACATGGCCCTTACCCAGATTTTTCTCTGGATTCGCCTCTTAAAATTGCCAAAACTGGCTATCAAACCCGGATTGTCGAGTCGAAAAGCCAAGCGATTAAGGCAGAGGCACCGCAACCTACAGCCAAAATATTGGCGCTGGTTCGAGCGGCACACTTTCTTAAGGTTACGGTGGTACGTGGAACAAGTCTTCTTGGGTAAGGACCACAGGCCCAGTATAACATAATTGGCTCATGTGCACTATAAAGAACCCAGGAAATCTTTCGAGACGAGTAGGAGGTTACCCAGGTGTTCAGGTCATATTACCCCTTAGACAGATGATAACAGTTGGTACCAGTTTATTGGGTATCTCAGACACGAAAGGAACCTTATAGGGGAGAGGAAAGTTTTTGTACTACAAGCTACAGTACTGTAGACCACGCCAGTGGCGGCGCCAGGATTTCCCCGACGGAGGGTCCAAGGTCCCCGACGGGGGAGGGGGGGCTGATGTCTCCGATGAGAAAAAGTGGGCGTGGTCGGGCGTCACTAAAAACCTTTCGAAAGTGGTCCAGTAGCCCCCGAAAATATCACAATTTAGGGGTTTCAAGGGCTTATTTAATCGATTTTAGAGTATATTGTTATGTACAATGTACATATATTTTTTTCTCCCAGACGAATTGTGGTTTTTTCCCCCGGGGGGGGGGGAGGCCTGACAGATGATAACAGTTGGTACCAGTTTATTGGGTATCTCAGACACGAAAGGAACCTTATAGGGGAGAGGAAAGTTATTGTACTACAAGCTACTGTAGACCACGCCAGTGGCGGCGCCAGGATTTCCCCGACGGACGTTCAGTTTCTATATTTGGTCATAGTATTGACAAACACAATAATACAAATTCAATTCAAGAATAGGGAAATAAATATACATGAAAATGTGTTTTTCTAAGTAGATTAAACAACTAATTAACAATGACAAGCTCCAATATCTTTTTTATGCAACTGGGTAGATGGCGCTATCACGACCATTATTAGTATTGTTTGGAGCTTTGCATGGCGAAGTAATAACATATATGTTGAAGCTTGCGGTACACCACGTAGGTAGTTCTGAAAAGAACTTTTGTAGTTGAGAAAGTCTCGACGTTTCGATTGAGATGCTTCAATCGTCTTTAGGAGAATAATATCTGCAGAATTTCCAAACAGAGAAATACTTATATGTTGGGTAGAGAGTCTGGTTGGTGATTGGATGGATAAACTGACCGTATGCAGATTTCTCAACTACTTCGCTAGAATATAAGGCCGAAATCCAACATCACCAAGATTGAACGAAATGCATTAAAAAGTCTTCGTGCTGACCCCACTATCCATATTTTACCAGCGGACAAGGGCAATGCAACGGTCATCATGAATGTCGCTCAGTAGGCCTACTACGGCCCATCGTTTCTTCGCGAGGATCACCAACCTACCCTCACGCCAAGTATATTGTCAGGATACTGTATCCACTGGTAGGCAATACTGGTCATCATGTAACCAACTTTCAACACTTTGTGAAGACCATCCGGGATGTTTACCTTGAATCTACAGATACTCTTGTTAGCTTTGACATCAAATCACTATTCACAAACGTACCGGTCAAGGAGGCTTGTCTAATAGCCACACACCGTCTACAGTAGGATCACACTTTCCAAGAAAGAACAGATCTGATCTCTGGCTGCGATACGTCGATGACACATTCATCATTTGGCAACACAGTAAGGTTTACTTAGATGGTTTTCTAGATCACCTGAATTCTCAGCACAAAGCAATCACGTTTACCATGGATGAGGAACACAATCGCTCTTTACCTTTTCTTGATGTTTTGGTAACCAGACAGGAAACAGGGACTTTTTGTCACATGCAGTCTATCGAAAACCAACACACACCGACAGATATCTAAACAAACGCTCCTTTCACCATCCGTCCACCAAGAAGGGAGTTTGTAGCACACTCATCGGAAGAGCACATAGTACATCAGCGACCACAACTTCACCCAGAAAGAAGTGCAACATGTTAAGGAAGCGATAAATCGGAATGGTTATCACACGAGAGACATTGCTACACCCAAACCCAGCAATAGGCGAGATAATGCGGAATCGAGAAACTCTGTATGCTTACCATACAAGGATAAACTACCAGCACAGAGTCAGCCAGAAATTTATCGGATCCTGTGCGAATGTGGAAAGGTTTACATTGGTGAAACAGGACGAGATCTCAGTACTAGGCTCAAGGAACACCAAGGCCATACCAGGAGAGGGGAACAACAAAAATCGTCCATAGTCATGCACTCCCACAGTCAAAAACACCGTGTACATTGGAACAAAGCCGAACTAATAGCCACTGTACCATCGTGGCACTCCAGAAAGACAAGAGAAGCCATAGAAATCCACAAACACAATACTGTAGCCTACATCAAGATATCGGATTTGTTATTATAAGCGATATTTGGCTGTCAATGTTTAATCGGGCCTAGTTCTAAGCAGCCCGACCATTTCTCTTTTTTTCCGCCTTACTGGAACTATGCCTTTGTTTTTGGTCGTTCTCATTCCCTTTCCCGCCACTCTGGAACTATGCCTTTGTTTTGGTCATTCCCACCCTTTCCCGCCACTGGAACCATGCCTTTGTTTAAGCGTTCTTCTCATTGGTCAGTTTGTCCATCCAATCACAACCAGCCTCTCTACCCAACATATAAGTATTTCTCTGTTTGGAATTTCTGCAGATAGTATTCTCCTAAAGACGATTGAAGCATCTAAATCGAAACGTCGAGACTTTCTCAACTACAACAGTTCTTTTCAGAACTACCCACGTGGTGTACCGCAAGCTTCAACATATATGCCATTATTATTATTCTATAAATCGCATGAATACGTATTGCTCAATGAATCTTCAGGAGGACATCGACCGCTCCTTAAATAAATACTGTACCTACTTACCAGGCATGGCTGTACTATAACTTTCATTCATGCATCGGCCCATATCTTTACTACAATTTATACAGCACGTACATACCGGTGTTATCACTAAACATTAAAAAAAATATTCGATATTTAATTGTTTTGCTTGGTGTGTAATTGCCCTACCTATTATTTTAAAAAAAACAACTTCAAGATAAAAATAAATATAAAAACAACACTAATAATAATAATATTAATAATAATAAATATTGTGATAATGATAATTAAAATGATGGTGATGATGATGATAAGGATAACGGTAACGGCAATGGTACTATCAATATCAGTAACAAAAAATAATACAATTTAAATCAAAACATTTCTTTAAAAAATTGCGAGTAAATGCTATTGGTCATTATTCAAAGATCGCCAGTAAGTCAGTCAATTGAGGTGCTAAACTAATAACGTGATAGTAAAAAAATAAATTTTTAAAAACTTACTAGGCATGGAAAAACATGGCATCCCATTAGATTGACCTGTACCCGAGCAAGCCGTATTGTCATTGACCATGCGGTACCTACACTTTCCTGATAAAAATTGATTAGTTAGTATTTTCATTTCATTATCATCTTATTGTTGTTGCTGTCGTCGTTGTTGTCGTCGTCGCCTTTCTGATCAGATTTTCAAGGCGAGTGTCATAACCAGTAGACCACGGAGGCTTCATGGTTGAACAGATTCAAATACCACCAGATACACTCCATTACACAATAGGTACGGCTAGAAACAAATAGGTGCATATAATATATCAAGGTAGCCGTTAACACTGTTAAATCATATATAAATCATCAAAGAAAGGTAAATACAGTGTTCGAATAAAGGACATAATAATACATCGTGTAGCATAGCTCTCAACGAATGTAGTCCTGTAAGGGTAATTTAATTATAATGCGTACTTTCACATTCTTTGGGATTTTCCTTTCTTATAGAAGGGGTATAATGCCATCAGATTTTTTGTAAACTTGGCAATGCTGTTATTTAATTCTTTTATCAAGTTGTTGGATAAGAGCTTGTTGCCTAGACAGCTAAAACCTGGTTAACTCACTGTCCCACTGGTTCATGATTCTTTTTAGTCTAGCAATGCTCTCCCCAGTCTGTGCAATGTCGTCAGCATAACCGAACTATTCTGCTTTGTAACTTAATAATTAAATTTGTTATGACCTGGTTGAGATAAAGGATGAACAGACGGGGTGAGAGGACACTTCTTTGACTTAACCGGTGTTGACGGAAAGTATTTTGTACCTCCAAGGGCAGTGTTGCTTTGATTTCGATGTGTTGATTGCCTTGAATAGTAAACTGCTGACCCCAATCTCATCGATCACCTTCCACATTCTCCCTTGGGACTCTGTCAAAGCCTTTCTCCAGATCTAGAAAGCAGATGTGCTGATCAATGTCATATTCCCAGCTTTTCTCCAAGAATAGTTTTAAGGCGGCGATCTGGTCCACAGTTCCTCTCCCGGGTCTAAAACCACACTGGGTTTCCGAGAGGACACTTTCCGAATGCGATCTTAATCTTCTTTCTAGTAGTCTTTCATAAAGTTTGCTAACATATCATCGATCATAGGTCAAATCATAGATTAGTTCCATTCTTCCATTTATTCCGGTGATAACTCCCCCTGTGTTGCTCTTTAGACTACAGTATATTAGTTTGTCATTTCTTCTGCTTTTGTTAGGATTTGGACATACTATAAAGCAGTTTCTTTGTACCTTGGGCGTCTGCCTCTAAATCCTTTCCTTTTTACATGATTGACGTGATTTTTCTGTTGTTCATAAGCAACCTTACTGTCTGGAAAATTACAGGAAGAATGTTTCTTACCCAAATAAAGGTTGTCCTCAGGGTGCTGGTATAGCAGATCTATGTTGCTGGCTTTGGTTGTTAGTTGGTCGTGGGCTATTCGACACATTCTATGGGGACAACCCGAAACCACCTTTCTCTTTGGAGTTCATTGATTCGTTTTCAAGAGGGGGAAAAACCTTGAATTTTGAAGAACTTAAAAGTCATCAAGAGGCACTTCAGAAGTCGGGAAAGCTCATTTCCTGCCATCTGGGAATCAAAATTTTCTGGGGGTGGGAGAACCCCGGACCCCATATTTCTTTTTGGGATTTATCAATTCATGGAAACAAGTACGTACCGGTATGCAACTACTCATTTTTTTATGTATGTATACACACATTAAGTACGAATTTGAAAAATTCAAGAAGGGAAAACTTTGAATTTTTATGAACCTAAAAGTCATTAAAAGACAATTCAGAAGTCGGGAAAGCTCATTTTCCCGCCATCTAGAAATCGAAATTTTTCCGGGGGAAACCCGGACCCCCTATCTTTTTGGGATTTATCGATTCATGTAAAAATAATACGTAGGCCTATGCAAGTACTCAATTTTTTATGTATGTATACATAAGGCCTATTTACTGTAATAAGAATGAGAAAAAAAATCAAATATCGTGGTGTGCCAATAAGAAACAGCACAATAAAGTATTTAATCATTATTATCATAATATCATTAATCTTACAAGATTATTACTATTCTTATATAAATTAAAGTCAACTTACCATTCTCCTTATGCAGCTTACAGCAGCAACTGCAAACACAAAAAAATGTAATTGTTATTTTTTTGTTATTATTATTATTATATTTATATTATTATGGCGAAAAAACATCTATGATGTAACAACACTACAATCCCAGAAATTGCATTCTCAGACTTAAAATATTTATTTTAATTTATTTTTTTTTTTATTGATCGATCAATAAATAGATTAATCAATTAATCAATCAATAAATCATTCATTTATTCATTCTTTCATTTTATATATATTTTTATGTTAGAAAATATTTCTGTTATATTTGTATATATCTTAATGTTTATGTGTAATTTTTTTTTATGTATATTTGAATGAAATATACACAGAATCATAATAATTTTAAAAAATGTTCATTTTGACTGAGGTACCAGACGTGTTAACACCTACCTCAGACCCACCATGGCTGGAGGATGAGGCAAAAAAAAAACGTAAGGATGGAGCAGTCTGAATTGCTGGAAATTCTGACACTTCAATATCAAAATATTACACTTGGGGCTGGGCTGAGATGAAAAAATGTATGGGTGTAATGGCGGGTGCGTACCTTTGGTCCGAAAGGTGTTTAGCTCGAAGGCCCATTGGTCCGGAGGGTCTTTGGTCCGAAGGCCCGTTAGTCCGAAGGGTCTTTGGTTCGAAGGTCCATTGGTCCGAAGGCCCGTTGGTCCGAATTAGTGACCATTTTCCCAGGAATGCAGGTTATACGGCAGTAAAACAAATTCCTTACAATTTATGGAGTAAATTAAGAAAGATCACTTTTCTAAAACAATATTCCCTAATATTTTCACTAACAACATATAAGACCAAGTAAAAAAAAATACTAGTTCTTGTCACCTCCCTCACACATTTTAGCTGCCTCACCATTAAAAAATATATATATATTTCCTATATTTTGTGAAATGTACGAAAATCTGGCTAACACACATCAGTAAAATTCTTCTCTCGATCGTGGATAGAGGGAGATGTTCCCAGTGAGAATTTCAGTTGAACTATTACCAGTAGTATTATGAAATAAAAATCAATATGATACGAATCATGCCTAGTGCTTCTTTTATTTCCTTTTAATGTGCAGTTGCGGCACTACGCAGGGAACACTTTCGAAACATTTTAATTGACACCCGACGACGCTCACTTTGCTCTCGTCGGGAAACTTGCCCTCCCACTCCCAAAAAAAATCATACCTTGCCCTTCATTTCCCAACCCCCCAGATGCTTTCGCCGCCATTGTCAATGTGTTAAAGTGTGAAAGTAGTTAACTGTTTCCCATCGGCCATAAGTAAAACAATCTGTTAAGATTTTCCAAACACTGGATGAAAGTTACTTGAATTCCTCTATTGTTATATTAAATCTTTTCGATTTCTAATAATTTGTTTATAAATATACATAAACTGAGCTGCTAGCTAGCAATAATAATGTATATTGTTAGCGAATATAGACCTATCCCGTAATGGCAGCTCAGGCCCGTAGCCGGTGGGAGGGGGGTTATGGTTCTGGTGAACCCCCCTTTTATAGCGAACCCCCTCGAATTTGTTAATGAGTCCCACTCGGACGGAATGTCTGTTTTTAACTAATACCTAGCATTAAATCAAAACTTAGCACCTAATTCATTATTTGGTCACCAGTTTTTAAATTGTAGCCTGCGATACAAGCCTACAATCATAGAATATTTAGCTTCAGAAGTTAGGAGATATAGTCCTTTAAGGTGGGTTATTGATTTCAAAATCAATTACCCTAGCCTAAATGTTGATTAGCTGGGTTCGCTCCTCATTCATTGAGAGACAGAATTATACCCCGACGACAACAAATTAGTGTAGGCCTAGGCCTAAGTACAGTAGGACGTACTACAGGTACTAGGTCTAGGCTTCCATTGTAAAAGTTGAAATGCATGTACAGGATGCGTCATAGGCCTATATTTAAAAGAAAAAATACATTTTGTTAATTATTATTTGTTGGCCTGGGACCTAGGCAGGTCGAAAGTCCTCGGATTCGACGATGACGTGACCAGTGCACGTTTACAAACGCTATTGATTAGAATGAAAATAGACGCACTTAATTTCGTTTTTTTTTTTTTTTTTTTTTTGTATGAAGATAGAAGTTATTGAACATTTATCTATATAAAAACAAGATTAATATTGTAGAAATTGTATTTCTAAAGATGCATATAAATCATATTTCATTTGGTAAACTATAAATATTCAGCTATTATTGCTGCGAAGCAGCCAATTCATATTCTTGACAGCAATTTGACCTCTGAAAGGTCATTGTTTGTCAAAAAACCTGCGCCTAAGACAACTGAAAAGTGGAGTTTCCTTCTTTCGTTCTGCCGTGTAAAATTAATTACTTCAGGCGACGTTTGTAGACTAACCTACTCGTACCAACGTCCGCATGTAGCGACGCTGGAGTACTATTCAGCGATTTTACTATATTTCTAGGTTTCCTATTTCTACGTTTAATCGGCTCATGTCTCAGCCACAATATTTTGAGGCCAATATTATTTACGAACCCAGTTAAAATTATTTACTAGCCTATTTCAACGTGCTAATTATTACATTTAGGCGACGCTTGTTGTAGACTGGCATAGTATTTTCGGAAATAAATACCATTTTATACACATGCGCAGATCGATTCGCCAGCAGCGAGTCATCGCCAGCAGCAGCGAGTCGCCAGCAGCGAGATGTCACTGCAGCAAAACACTATTGTACACGGTACCAACGCTGTTCTAATATAGACAATGGGTTGTGTCTCATATTATTTGTTAGATTTTTATTATTCATTATTTTCACTTGACTCGCATAAATAATTTTGTTCGAAGAACATTTTATGCAGTTTTACTTCGCAGCACTTCACTTTGCAATTTGCAATTTCTAGTTAATCAGTATGTATTAGGTTTAAGTCTTAAAATAATAATTTCCAGTTAGGCCTAGTACATAACAAATAATTGTATTAAAGTTTAGTTTTTTTTAGTCAGATGACGTATTGAATAACGATGCTATATGTTAGGCTCCGACTTAATTTACCCAAGGCCCTGTCAGTAGTAATGACAATATTTTTGCTTTTTTAGCCATATAATAAAATAGTACTATTATTTTCAGTATACAAAATGAGAGTCGTCAAGAAGTAGTAGAAGAAGAAGAAGAATAGGAAGAGGAAGAGGAGGAAGAAGAAGAATAGCTTTTTTTTTGTTTTATAATAATAAATGTGTTGAGTATATTGATATTGATTATGCGATGAGGTTTTTTTTTATATCTTTCGGTGTGATTTAAACATGCCAATTCTCAGAAATTTTTTTCTAATTTTATTATATTACCACCTTTTTATTACATAGATCTTTTTCAAAACATAACTGCTTTTTTAACATTATATAGACCCATTAAACACAAAAACTGCTCTGGCTTCGGGGGCCCCTTACACTTATAATAGTTTTTTGTGTCTTAATTTACCTTAAAAATAAGAATGTAGTAACACCAGATTCCTGAATTGAACACGGTTTTCCAAAGGGAATACTTGGACAGTATTTTAATACACATCACTTTATTTTAATCATGAAGAAATAGCTATTTTGTTTGGAAAAATTTAATGTTTTTTTTTAATTATTATTATTTAATGAGCGTTTCTTTCGAAAATGCTAGACTGATTTTTGTGCATACAGCAATGTATGCAACCAATACAAGGATGGGAGATTATTCCGGCCACATTTTGAGGATTGGAATATCTAATTGCATTGGTTTATTAATAGGTCCATGGTTTATCTAGATAATTATAATAGATATTCACGAAATATTTTAAAACATCCCAGGAATACAATAGAGAGCAGATGACTACACACAATTACTCGAAGTAAAAACTTCCTCAGACAACATACGGTTATTTTCTGGTGTTAGGAGCAGATTTCTCACTCGTGAAAGTGATGTATTTAGTCGAGGTTGTATTAAGCATATAAGTGCTATATAATTTTTTAAAATATATTGGTTGTTCATTTGTTATATTTTCCATATTTAATTATAACTTTGATGTTTACATGGGATGAACATTGACCAAGGGGAATGGCCCCCTTAAATAGGGGGATGAGCAGTAGGAGCAGCAGTATTAGTAGGTTCAGCAGTAGTAGTAGCCAGGTTCTTCCAAAGGGGGTTTTCTGGGCTTGAGGTACACGGTCGAAGCCACGGTGGGGGTCGGCGAAACCCCCAAAGCAAGATGTATGGGTCTAAATAATGCTATAAAAGCAGATATGTTTGAAAAGGTCTTTGTTTGGGTGGGTCTGCTGTCCATTAGTTGGGTTGGAGGACTTATTTGGGAAATTTGAAGAGGGGGTTCGCCAGAAAAGAGGGGGATTTGCTAGAAAATGGGGTTCTCCCGAACCATAAAAACCCCCCTGGATACGGGCCTGGTAGCAGTTGTTGTTAGTAGAATAGCAAAGTTTTTCTATGTTTGGCCTACTTTGGTAACAGTGGCGGCTCTCGGATATCTGGGGGGGGGGGGCTAAGTTCATTACAGATGTGTATAAGAGACAGGGCTCTAGCTGGGGGAAGGGGTTGAAAATGTTTAAAGAATAGCAACCTCTGGATAATAATAATAATAATAATGTTATATTTATATAGCGCATATTGCACATTGCCCCTATGCACTTTACAAAGAAATAATATAGGCCAACTGAGAAAATCCAAATAACAATAAAATAATAACAATAAAAAAAAATAAAAAATAATAATCATAATAACAATATTAACAATGAGACTAAATTACTCCTATTCCTTAAACTAATTAATGGTTGGCCGTTGACTCCATCCGAGGAGCTCATCCGCCATTTGTTCAGCTACAGGCCTAATCTCAATGATTAAAGTTTAAATAAATTTGCATATATATGACCGGAATAGAAGAAACTTTGAATTATTATTATTATTGGAGTTGAACTCTGTTAAAATTCTTTTGAAGAGAAGATACTGTAACCATGCCGGTATAAAAAATAAAAGACACTTATATTTTGACTATAGAACACAAATCTG